ATTCCCACGCTGTAGCACAGTCTTTATAAACACTTAGCACAGTCTTTATAAGCACTGCATACTCTTCCATCCAGGAGTATGAACCTTCTGGACCTTTTGGGGGTCACAAACCCTTTGCACAGTCAGATGGTGCCCCCTCCCTCAGAAAAATGCACACACATGAGCCCACATACAAGAAGCGGCGTAAGATTTCGGGGGGCTCCCAGGCCCCAGTTAAAACTCCTTGATCTAGTACATGACCTGTAATCGATTTATCTCCTTCTCTACTGCTAGATATTTAGGCTCTTTCCCTTTCTTTCCCCATTATAAAGAACACGATGATGAACATCTTCACGTAAGTGTGTTTTCTTGCTGCAATTTAGACGATTTCTTAGGACGAGTTCTAGAAGAGACATGTTGACTTAGGGAGTAGGAGCTGTGTTCCGGTTCTTCAGACATATCACCAATGCACTTCCCAAGGGTGGGGCCAGTTGACATGCCACACGCGGGGCCACACGAGGGTCCTGTTGTATTCCACCCTCACCCAACTGCTCCTTGGGCCTGGACCGGGTAACTTTCAGGACAGAAACGAACGATGGGCTGACCACTGATCCTGCCTGGTGGCCACCCTCACCTTCATCCCAAACGCAAGCCCTGATTTCTGGCACTATGGAAGGGACGGGACAAAGAGAGCCACCGGACTAACCCCGCTCATAAAACAGACCTCAGCGGGGGAGGTAATTCGAGGGCCCGTGACAGTGAGGCAGTCGCAGCGGCCCTCCTGGCCCACCCACTCCCCAGTCGCCTTGAAGGTCCATGTGGTTGCGGATTTCCATGCATCTCTGTGCTGGGGGCTGGGGAGTATGGCAGGTGGCCTCTCCATCTGGGGACTCGGGCCTGCCTGGCTATGCCCCACAGGTAACACATGAACGGACAAGGCCATTTTCAGCCACTCAGCCCTCTGTGAGCTACTTGCGACGTAACACAATGTTTGGGGGACCCTTGAATCCCTGCGGGCTGCTCTTCCTCCTCGCCCACCCCAGGCCACACTCTCAGCCTCCACATGTAGTTTGTAGGTTCTGCCACTAGAGGGGTCCCGTGAGCCAGCCTGCCTACTCCCCTCCTGGGGACCCAGTTCCCAATTAAATCAGGAGCCTTTGCTCCAGGAGCAGCCATTGGGGCACACAAGCCCTCAAATCTGAGCCCCCCTGCGGGGTGTGTGGTCCAACCTGGACGCCGGTGCTCTGGCCTCTTCTCAGATGCCCTCTCTGCCCAAGACACAAGGACCACACCTCCTTCCCTTTGGTCCCTGTCACAGCGCGGTTCTCAATCCTGGCTGCACACTGGAAACCCCTGGGGAGTTCCCACACAGCCATGCCTGGGACCTACCCCCAGCTCTGGCCCTACCCCAGAATTCTGGTTCAATAAGTCTGGGTGCGGCCTGGGCATCAGGATTTTCCAAAGCTGCCCAGGACATTCTCATTTGCAGCTGGGTTGAGAACGCCTGTTCTATAGGGTCCCGTGCCGCTGACCTTGAGTCCGGGATTCCCGGTCTCATCCCGTGTGGGTGCTGTGGGGGTGGGAGGGAGCAGAGGAGTGCTGACTTTGCTTCCAGGGTCTCCATGTGCTGGGGGCACAAGACCCACACAGTGGCTCAGAGGGGAGAAACAAGTACTCGTGGGCTGCGGGGACCGGCCAGGGCCCAACCCTGGCTCACACCAAAACATCTGGGAAAAATGCCAGGGCCAGGGTCCACCCCTGCCCCTTTCAGAATCTGTATCTGCTTTTTTTTTAAGCTCTCCGCAACCTGTCACACGCGACTGGGCAGGGAAGCCATGTGCCTCCATGCGACACCTCTCATGTTCCATCTCGGACACAGGTTTTCTTTACCTCAGGCTCCACTGAAGCGCGCGCTCCCGGGAGCCACGGAGGGACCCCATTCAGGTCCGTCCTGCCCCAGCACAAAGCCTCAGCCGAATGGGACTGATAGAGGCCAGAAGAGCGAGTGAGAGGGACTGCTGGGCCTCCACGGTGGAGGAGGTACCTCTCTGATCACACCGTCTCTGAGCAGGCCCAGGAACCGGTGAGCTGCCTGCTAAGCAGCTCTAAGCAGACAGATGAGCCCTAAACCAAACTGAGTAGGCAAGGCTCCGGAAAGCAACAATACAGTTCCCAAAGCTTGACCACACAAAGGCCTCCCGACGGGGCGGCCAAACGCCCCACCTGACAGACATCACCCCCTTCAGCTCAGGAGTCTGCGTGCAGCAGAGTGGGGCTCAAATCCAACTGTGGGTCAGAACCACTGGGATATTAGTCAGCCATGAAAAGGAATGAAGTCCTGTCACCAGCTATGACGTGTGTCAACCTCGAGAACATTATGCTCAGTGCAAGAAGCCACACAGCCACACAGCGCATGATTCCGTTTACATGAAAAGTCCAGAACAGGCACATTCATCGAGACAGAAAGTCGATTAGTGGTGGTACCAGAGGCTGAGGGATGGGGACTGGGGGGTGACTGCTAATGCGGATGGGGGTTCTGGAACTACACCGTGGTAACTGTTGCACAACACCGTCAATACACGAAATGCCACTGAACTGTACAATTAAAACATACAATTAAAATGGCTATTTTGGCACATTTTTGTTACGTGCATTTTACCACAGTGAAGGACAACAATCTCCCTGCTCGAGGGCGCCACGTCTGTCCGAGGCCAGGAGAACCTGCAGGAAGAGCTCTCAGCCTCGGCACCACCAGCGTCAGGGCCGATCGCTCCGTCGTGTGGGGCTGTCCAGAACAGCACCCCCGGCACCCACCCACTGGAAGCCAATAACACCCCCAATCTCAGTTGTGACAAAAATTTCTCCTGGCACTGCCACACGTCCCCTGGGGGCAGAATCGGCCCCAGGTGAGAATGGCTGCTCAAGAAGCATCCAGACTTGCCTGGGCATCAGGACTGTACCAGAGGTGCCCTGGGGGAGTCCCACGGGCAGCCAGGGTGGAGAATCAGCAAGGTGGAGGGAGGGAATGAGGGGGCCAGGAGTGACTTCTCCGGCCCTGTAAACAAGTGTCACCATCCCATCTGATGAATGAGGAAACGGAGGCTCCGAGAAGATAAGAAGCTCGTCCAGGCTCGTGCCAACCAAGCCTCCCTAATTCCCAAATCCAGGCTCCTCACATGATGGGGCTGCTGGACGCAGCTGAGTACGCCAGACCCTAATTCTAGTTCTGCCAATGACACCGCAGCCATGAGACCACAGGCCAGGCCCATCACACCTGGGGCAGAGTGAAGATGGGAGCTTGGACACCTGTCCCTCCACCTGGACCCCGGGGGCGCTGGGCACCTGTCCCTCCGCCTGGACCCTGGGGGTTCTGGGCACCTGTCCCTCGGCCTGGACCCTGGGGGTGCTGGCACCTTTCGCTCCACCTGGACCCTGGGGGTGCTGGACCGCCGCAGGTCTTGCTGCACTGGCAGGTGGCACCACCAGGGGGAGCTCTGACTAAGCCCAGCCCGCCAGGCCCAGGTGGGGTTTTGAGTTCCATTCCCAACCTGGTTCCCCGGTTGAAAGTGCCACACAGCTCAGGGAGTCCTCGGGTACCTGGAGTCCTCGGTGACAGCTGGCTGCCCCGCTTCCTGTGCGCTCTCCAACACTTGAGACAATGCTAACCGTGCACCCTCGGGGGGATAAAATCAGGGAGGAGTCCACCTCAAATTCCTTCCTGCCGAGGCCAGCAAAGTGTTCCACGTCCCTCCGCCCCGTCCCTTTGCTCCCTGGCTTACATCAGCTCCGTGGGACCTTATGTGCTCCAGGTCTGGTAGAGACCCAGCCGGGTTCAAATCCAGCTCGACCAGTGCACGACCTCCAGCAAGTTACTTAACCTCTCTGAGTCTCGCTTTCCCTTCTACACACAAGGGGTAATATTAGGACATCAGGACTTACCTCACAGGGCTGGGGTGGTTGTGAACATAAAAATAGGTAATTCATGGCACCCTGCCCGGTGCCCAGGACTGTCTACACCTGGCACGTGCCCGGCTCACAGCATGAGCACAACAGTTATGTGCCCACTTACTATCATCCTTGCAGCTGTTGGCCTAGAAATCTAACCAGGGCGCGGACCACAGGCAGAGAAGGGAAGCGGCTGCAGGGGTCAGAGGCACCGTCCTGTGCTGGCCCTGGCTGCTCTGGGTTCGCACAAAACCCCCATTCAGGAGCCTCGTGCACGCCCGCCTCTGTGAGGCCCTGAGGACCCCAATGATGCTGCGTGGTGGCCGTCACAACGCGGAGACGACCTGCGCCAATCAGGCCCACTGCAGGGCAGGGGTCTAACTTCTGCCCCTCCCCGCCCCCGCTCATGTGGCCTGGGCCTGTGAGCCCGCCAAAGCACCAGGCATCTAGTTCCCCTGGGCTCTCTGCCTGCAGAGTAAATGTCACCAACATTCCCTTGGGCACTGCGTTCCAGCCGCCTATAGCTCAAGAGGGGTGAAGTCGAAAGGCTAATGTCCCCCCGGGGCCAGAAGGCAGGGCCACGTGCCTGGCTTGGCTGCAGGCGGCCGTGGAGCCTGTCTGGGGGCCAGGCCAACCCCTTATGCCACCACACAGGCCTCTATGAGTTCGCCTGGGGGCTGTGGGATGACCGACCATTTCCTGCCCCTCCAGGGGTGAGAACAGGAGACACCAGGACCCCTGGGGGCCTGGCCCTGTGGGGTTTGGTCTAGGTTGTGGGGCCGGTCAGACCTGGCAGGGACTGCTTAGCTGTAGGTGAGGCCATTGAGGGGAAGGGAGGGGGGATAAGAAGGTGGAACTCCCCCCCCCCAACATCCTTTACAATCTCCTCGGCCGGGAATAGAGTGACGGGACACAGGTGCCGAGGCCCTGGCATGGGGAGAGCCAGGCGCCTGCAGGGCACACTCCATCTTCAGTGCTCCGTGAGCAGAGCTGGTGACATACGCAACTGCTCCCCAGCGTGCCCGGTCAGGCCTTTGGGGCCACCCCAGAGTCCAGGACCAGAATGAGGAACTCACCTGCTCTCGCTCTCCAGGAACACAGAGCCGCTGCTCTCCGCAAGGGCGGCGCTGATGGGCGAGAGGCAGAAGGGCGAAGAGAAGGCGTCAGAATCCGAGTCGAAGGAGCTGTCCCTGCTCACACCGTCGGCTGACAACTCCAAGGAGCCCTCCTCCTCGCCCGCCTCGGGCCGCAGCTCCCTCCCCTCCTCGGTCCCATCCTGCGAACTGATGGTGGACAAGATCCCAGAGTCACTGTGGGCTGGCTGCGAGGCCGCGAGGGGGCCATCCATCCCCAGGCCCTGGGCCAGCTTCTCTCCATCCTCCAGGGAAGGGCTGATATGCACGGTGTCCCGGAGGCTCTGGGCCACCACCAGGATGTCCTCATCTCTGGGGATCAGGGTGGGCCTTGGCTCCGTGGGGGAGGGCTGGTGGGGGGTCCCCGAGCTCTGTGTGCGGCGGGCCCGTGGGCGGGGTGCCCTGCGCACAGGGGAGCTCTCGGGGGTGACGTAACGCAGAGCCTCCTCATCCTGTCTCTGGATCCGAGAGTTGGGCACCCACGCGAGGATGAGGGTGGCCCCCAGCAGCTCGTCCTTCTCCATGTACAAGCACAGGTAGCCTGTGAGGGGACAGAGGACAGGCGGTTAGGGAGGGCAGTGGACGCAGGGCCTCTGGCTGGTTTCTCAAGGCCACATCTGTTAGCAAAAATGGGGTGCTATGCCGACGAGTCAGGCTTCGGACGCAGCCTGGCCCAAAACACACCCAAGGGACACAGCCGAGCTGGGGACTAATGAGGGCTCTGGGGATTTTCTAGCAGGCCCGGGGGCACCGGGCCCCAAGCAGTGGCACATCCCGTGCCTTCAGAGCCCCACCTCGCCCACCGTCTGGTGGCCCCAGAGCCTTCCTGCCTGTGGTCAGCCTCCACACAGGGGCACTTCCTCCTGCAGCCCCTGCCATTCCCGGGTGTCCTGATTCCCAGGCCTCTTGCGCCAGGTGCCCAGGCCTCCTAGCAGCCACCACCCTAGCTCTCGCCCCAACCAGACTCCCCTTAGCCCTGCCCCAGTTTCCAGAAGACGTGGGGAAACTCAGGAGCTATCAGCCAGCTGTGCACAAGGCCCACATGCCACGGGCCGAGCGTTTCCACACCCTCAGATCAGTCGCTTCGGGGCTGGGAAGAGAGCCCGAGGCCTCCGCCCTGCTCTCCCACACCGGCGGCCGCAACACAACTACCCCACGAAGCTCTCCCAAGGCTGCTGCTGTTCCTTTTTTGTTATACCCAGAACACGTAACAGCCTCAGACCCAGGCCCAGACCTCTGCCCCATGCTCCCCACATCCATGAAGGGGGCCCCATGGTCAGGCGTCCACAGGGTTAGGGCGATGTGCCATCCAGAGCCGGCACTGCCCCTTCTAGGGCACGCTCTGGGACCGAGGACCCTGCGATTCCCTGCCCACACAGTCCAGAGTCTGCTTCCAGGGCCTGGTCCTGAGCTGGCTGTGCGGGTGGTAGACAGGCTGCGGGGTCCACAGGAGAATGCCCGAGGCCCCGACGGGGCAGGAGAGAGCTGGGCGGGAAGTGGGCTTCTGCGTTGGAACCTAGAGGGGCTGATGATGCCAAATCTGCACCAGACCATCCGGGTGGCTGTAAAGGTATATTGATCAGGGCAGGATGACAGGACATTTTTTAGTTCTACCCTAGTTTATCAGCATAAGTCAAACGTTTTGTCTTTTTTAATAACTTATTTACACAGTGCTTTGTTGACACAATTTGCACACAGTAAAGTGTCCAGATCTGATGGCAATTTATAACTTCTAAATGTTCTGACATCTGGTGGGGAGCCTCTGTCTGCACTCGGGTGGGCAAGTCCCTGTGGGCCGCACCCAGACTGCAGGTACACAGGGGCCCCTGAAGCATCCTTCAGCAGCCTGGTGAGGCCACAGGAAGAAGCAAGGAGAGCCAGAGCCTGCCCTCGCTCCACCTCCACCCCAGGCTGGTGTTGGGGAAAGGCTGAGCTACTCTCCTCTCTGAGCACCAGCCTTCTTGTCCAAAAAAGAGGGCTGCCCGGGGCTCTGCTCACTCTGGAGAGGTTGTCGTGCAAATTGCATAAAGTAGGGCATTTATTTTATGCAAGTCAGCTGCATGAATGACAAAGGACCACGCAGGCCTCGGGGTGTCACTAACCCATCTTTTCCTTCCTAGGGAGCACAGGGCGGAGGGACTCACTGGCCTACCCAGGAGGTGCTGGGCTGCTGTGACCAGACCTAACACCCCAGGGCCCCCACCCAGAGGAAGCCACAGTCAGCTACCCATCCTGGAAAGAGACCCACATGCACGTGGCTTTGTTGTGCGCTGTGGCCTCAGCCCTCCAGTGCACAGGGCAGCTCACCATCGCAGGGCCCGGAACACAACCAAAGCCCTGAAAAAGACGCAGAAGACAGCCAAGTCCCTGTCACCACAGGAAAAAAGTTTCCCACCCCAGGGACTAATAGGAGCCACGAGCTGCAGTGTCCCGAGAATGGCCTCCAGTAACAGGGGGTTCAGTATGGACGGTCTGAGGAAGGACTGTCTCCATCTCCATCCCTGCAGAGGGCAGCTGAGAGTCTGCTACCCTGATTTCCAAATGGTGGGAGTGAAGGGCAGAGTGTGCACGGGGTCAATGATTACAGCAGGAACTTCCAAACATTCTCCCAGATTCCCAGGCCTGGGACCCCAGCTCCTCCCCTTCCAGGTCTGTGACCCCAGCCCTCCCCTCCCAGGCCTGGGACCCCAGCCTTCCCCCCCAGGCCTGGGACCCCAGCCCCTCCCCTCCCAGGCCTGGGACCCCAGCCCTCCCCTCCCAGGCCTGGAACCCCAGCCGTCCCCCCCCAGGCCTGGGACCCCAGCCGTCCCCCCCCAGGCCTGGAACCCCAGCCGTCCCCCCCCAGGCCTGGGACCCCAGCCCTCCCCTCCCAGGCCTGGAACCCCAGCCGTCCCCCCAGGTCTGGGACCCCAGCCTCCCCTCCCAGGCCTGGGACCCCAGCCCTCCCCTCCCAGGCCTGGAACCCCAGCCGTCCCCCCCCAGGCCTGGGACCCCAGCCCTCCCCTCCCAGGCCTGGAACCCCAGCCGTCCCCCCAGGTCTGGGACCCCAGCCTCCCCTCCCAGGCCTGAGACCCCAGCCGTCCCCCCAGGTCTGTGACCCTGGCCCTCCCCTCGCCCAGGCTCACCTGGGTGGTGCTCCCCCAGCCCCTGCAGCCCCTCGGGCGGGTGCACGCAGACATTGTTCTTGGAGTAGATGATCTCCCCATCCAGGACGGAGGGGGGCCCGCCACTGCCAGCCGGGGTGAGGGTCAGGAGGTCCGAGGCTCTGGAGGAGGCCCGGCGAAGGAGGCGGCCCAGAGACATTGCCGGGGGAGTGTTTCCATCCTCTGCACACTTGGGCCCAGGCGGGGCTCGTCCAGACCTGCCTGGGGGAGGAAGAAAGAGGGAGACACATTGGGGCCCTCGGTCATGGTACTTGAGCTGGGTGCCTCGGGGGCTGCGTCCTGTCCCATGCCAGCAGGCTCGAAACAGACGCTGGTTATCACCAGAACCTGTCCTGCCGGCACAAGCCCACGGACAGGGTAGGCTGCGTTCTCAGCTGTGACACCAGGGACATTTGGGGCCTGGTCTTCCGAGTGGTGGGGCTGCGCTGTGCCTTGCAGGACATCGATCAGCATCCCTGGCCTCCACCCACTAGATGCCACTTGCAGCCCCCTTCCCACTATGACAACTAAAAAGGTCTCCAGGCATTGCAAATGTCCCCTCAGGTCACAAAATCACCCCTATTGAGAAACACTCATCCAGAGGAACCCTGTTCCCACTGAAGCAATCTCATAAAACCCCCAGACTTTCTCTTTGCTCAGTTTTCACCCTGATGTCCGCGGGTGTCTCCTGGGTTCCCTGCCTGCCTACACTCCTCACCCCTCTGCTTGCTTCACAGGGATGTTCTGGTTCTCTTTCCTCCTTTGCATCTTTCTCCACCCCCCACCCATCCTGCGTGTCCCCCTCAACCTGATGTCCCAACATGTGAGGGGCCGTCTCAGCTGGGAAGTATGTCACAAGTAACACCTGAAGAACCCGAGTTTACATACAACTCCTACTTAAAAAAAAATAAACTAGAAACAAAAGGATCAGATCCGGAATATATACAGAACTCCTAAAGATTCACCGCAAAGAGGAACAGCATCCTAATAGGAAAGACGGGCGATTCATGGAAGGGGGCCGCCGAGGGACCAACAAACAGGAAGATTCACAGTCTCAGAGCAAAACCCAACACCCAACAGACTGGAAAAAACAACCACCAAAGGCCTAGGCAGCTGCTACGTGAACCAACCAGACGTCTCCCGATGGTGGAGCTCGAGCACACGGCCCATCGAACCGAGCCACGGAACGCCCCGTGGGCGCCATGCCGTCCACATAAATGAAGAGACCGTATAGAGCCAGGCTGTCTCCTGGTCAGAGATTAGCGATGTGCAAGACGCAGACCACGCTGGGCAGGGTTCAGGCCAGCTTCAGGGGTGGGGGGGCCGGCATGGAAACATCCCCAGAGGGACTTTAACTCAATCTTCTTGAAAGAAAAAAAAAAAACTTGAAGCCAATATGATAAGATCATCCATTGGGAATGGATAAACACGTGGTTATCCATGCAACAGAACGTCATTCCGCCCTAAAAAGGAACTGAATTCTAACACCTGCTACAACATGGATGAACCATGAGAACACCAAATTGAGCGAAATCAGCCAGTCACGAAAGGACAAACCCTGTGTGATTCTGCTCATACAAGGCACCTAGAGTTGTCAGGTTCATAGAGAAAGAAAGTAGGATGGTGGGTGCCAGGGGCTGGGGAGGGGATGAGGACTCAGTGTTTAATGGGGACAGAGTTTCAGTTTGGGAAGATGAAAGCATTCTGGAGACGGGTGGGGGTGATGGTGGCACAACAGTGGGAATGTGCTTAATGCCACTAAAGTGTACACTCAAAAATGGCCAAAATGGGGGCCGGGGCGGTGACACAGTGGTTAAGTTTGCACATTCTGCTTCGGCGGCCCAGGGTTCCCCAGTTCGGATCCCGGGTGCAGACATGGCACCGCTTGGCACACCATGCTGTGGTAGATGTCTACATATAAAGTAGAGGAGGATGTGCACGGATGTTAGCTCAGGGCCAGTCTTCCTGAGCAAAAAGAGGAGGATTGACGGCAGACATTAGCTCAGGGCTAATCTTCCTCAAAAAAAAAAAAAAAGGTTAAAATGGTAAATTTTATGTCATGTATGTTTTACCACAATAAAAAAAATTTAAAAAATTATCAACCTGTGGAGGGTCTCAGGGTATATTATTATATTTTTCTTTGAACTTCCTGCATTTTGTATAACTTCTCCCAAATCCGAGCTGATTTAGGATGTCCCCCTACATTGAATTCTTTCTGCCCAGTGCTTAGACAGGCTCTTGGGGCAGAGGTATGGGGGTGCCAGCTGGCTCACAGACTCACCCCCATCCTGGCAGGGGAGGGGTGGTCTCAGAGCCGTCCTATACCATCCCAGACCAGGTGGCTCAACGCTGGACCCTCAGCCCCATCTGGCTCTGTGGGTGCCCCTCCTGTGCCCCCCAACTCTGTTCTCCGGTCTCCCCAGCTCATAAGTGTATCTCCAGCTGCCTCCATGGCTGCTAACTCTCCCAAGCATGACGTTCTGCTAACAGCTTCCCGCCAGCCCAAGAGCCTCGTGTCCCGTTCCTGAGTCTTTACCCAGAAGGATCCATTTCTCCCTTCTCCCCCATCAGCGAGGTCCTGAACTTCAGCATCACCTTGAAAATCACCAGTCCAGGGGACCCGGGGCCCAGATCAGGTCCTCACCTCCCAGGCCTGAGCCATGAACATCCCTCTGTTTTCAGCCACATCCAGGGCCCCGAATCCACTTGGCTCCCCCGAACCCACCCCTCCCCCTTCTCAGGCTTCCCCCATCCCAACCCTTTCAATGTGGGCTGCAGAATCAAGTGGACCCCTCCGTCCAGGGTCCGCAGGCTGGTTCTGAGGGCCAGATAGTAAATATTTTTGGCCCTGTGGCCAGACAGCCACTGCCACAACTACTCAACTCCGTCCCTGTGGTGTAAAATCAGACAGTCAACGGGCATCACTGTATCCGGGGAGACTTTATCTATAGACACTCGTCCCTGAGTTTCATGCAATTTTCACATCACAAAAAAATCCTCCTTTCGATTTTTTTCAACCATTTAAAAATGTAATAACCATCCTTAGCACACCCACTGTACAAAACAGGGGAAGGCTTGTTTGGTCCATGGGCTGCGGATGGCTGACCTCTGCCTTCAACCACTTTCAGGACTGTCTTGCCAGGTCCCGGATACTCTGGGCAGGGCCGCCCACCTCTACCCAGATCGCGTCCAGGCCGCTCCAGGTCGCTGGCGTCTCTCCGTCTCACCCACTATAGTGCCACTCTCTGAACACTTCGCAGCTCACGAGGACATACGACAACCAAGTTATGAAACGTGAAAGAATCACACTGGAACCTACGCATCAAGAAATGTGCTGTCTTTCCAATTAATCGTCCAGAAAGGCTACATCCTTATTCTAACGAGGATTCTGTCGTCTGGAACACTTTTAGAATTCAAGAATTCTTCAAGAACTGCAAAGTGAGGTAACGAGCCATACAAAAACACGAGTCTGCTTTTCCTAGTCCAGCGCTGCCCAGCAGAAATGGAATTTGAGCCACATATGCAACTTCAAATATCCTACTAGCCACATTTTAAAAAAGGAAAAAGAAATCAGTGAAATTAACTTTAATAATATATTTTTATTTCATCCATTATATCCCAAATAATATCCTTTCCACATGTAAACCATATGACAAAAATGATTGATGAGCCATCTTACATTCTTTAAGTCTCCAAAGTCTGGCATGTACTCTATAGTGACGCAACCTCAGTTCTGACCAGCCACGTGCCGGGCGCTCAGGGGCCTCCTGCGGCTGGGGCCTCCGGTGGGCGAGCCTAGGGCAGGGCTGGAGGCTCGAACGGCACGACTTAGTTTAAGCGTCCTCACCCCGAGGCTGGGCTGCAGACAACTCTCAGCTGATTCTAAAAACCAAACCTCTTTACGTGAAGATGTTGGCCACCATTGAGGATAATCCAAAGAAGGTGCTGGAAGATTTGAGAGATTCTAAAATACAAGCATTCACAGCACAGTGTTGTCCCACCTATGAGATGCGAAACCTCACCGCGGCTCTGTAAGACGCGTCCTGGAAGCACAGATTTGCAGATGAGGAGACAGGTTCAGCACGCCCGCCGTCACTCCGAGAGCAGAAAAACCCAGAACACAAGACCTTTGTGCCCCAGGTGCAGAGTTCCAGCTCTCACCCCACCCCAGCCGTGGGTGACGGGGACAGTCCCGCCCAGGTCCACCCCCGGACAGTCCTGGGGAAGACAATGTGCCTTTGGGTGGATCAGGGCATGTCTGTTAAACATGAGCCACAGTTCGTATTTATTTTTTAAACATATTTGTTCCTTCGTAGGTCTATTTCATCTAAATTAAACCTGGTTCCCAACCTCTGGTCTCTATCAAACTAGACGTGGAGAATCCTTGACCTACTTTCTAAAACTTTAAAAAAAATTATGAAACATTCTCAGAGCAGTATACAGAAAAATAATGTCCCTTAAGTCACACTATCCAAAAATATTTGTATATTTTCTACTATCTTATGAGCCTATCTTAAAAAAACAAACCAAAAAAACACCCCCTGGAATTATACCACACCTGGTTTTCAGTTATATCATAAATGTATTTTTCCATGTGTTATGGGTTGAAGTGTGTCCTCCCAAAATTCACATTGATGTTCTAACCCCCAGGACCCCGGAAGATGACCTTATCCGGAGACCGGTCTTTACAGCGGTAATCAAGTTAGAATTAGGTCATCAGGGCAGGCCCCAGCCAATGTGACGGAGCGTCCTTTAAAAAGAAGAAACGTGGAGACCGATACACATGTACAAGGAGAACACCCTGTGATCACAAAGAAGGCCATGTGCAAGCCAAGGACAGAGGCCTCAGAAGGAAACCACCCTGACCACACCTTGATTCCAAACTTCCAGCCTCCAAAACTGCGAGAAAACAAATCTCGTTGTTTAAGCCAGTTTGTGGTTCTTTGTTACAGCAGCCACAGGAAAACAATATACCATATCAGCAAAATTAAAAATTCAAAGTGTCAACCCTCTATCTTAATAGCTCCATGCATATTACATGGATGCACCATTCTTGAACCAGACACCATCGCTAGACCTTTAGTTTCCAAATAGTGGCTATCTAAGTAATAAACTCTACATTTTTATACATAAATCTTCATCTGTATCCTCTCCATTTCCTTAGGATAATTTCTGGGATTCCTGACTATTTCCTTGGAGGATAAATTGGACTCCTGACACAT